ATGACCCTTAAACCATGAAGTCACAGCTGCCTCTCGCTAAGGATGTCAGACCCAATGTCTGACTGTTTCATTTTAATTTAATCTGGATCAATATTCCTCTCCATGTCTCACTTGTTTTTTCCCAGTTGCATTTGGTGATGCCACAAAATCATATCTGCTGTATGACAAAATGTGATTTTAGGATGAGCTGTTATCAGACGCCATATTAATATTGGATTACACATCTCATGCCTCAGTAGAAGTGGTAATACACTGCCCAGCAGGGGCGTGGTGATATGAAAGAAAACATGGACTGGACTACATTAACCAGTAGATCATCTTCCAATGTTTAAGGAATAGTTCAACATTTTGGGAAACATTTGCTTTGCTGCTAAAAGTTAGATTACAAGATTTATATTACTTTCACATATGTTGGCTAAATATGAAGCTATAGCCATCAGACCTGGTTTAGCTTGGCACAAAGACTGGAAACAGGGGAGAACAGTTAGCCTGGCTCTGTCCGAGTAACAAGATCTGTCTTCCAGCACCTGTGTCTTTGTCAAATCAGATGCAGAAGTTCAATTAGTAGAACCCTAGAGACCAGCTAGTCTAGCTGTTGACCTTTTGTTACCAGTTTTTATGCTATAAGCTAGGCTTCAACTTCATATTTACTGTACAGACATAAAAGTGGAATCAGTCTACAAGTGTATTTCCCAAAATGTCAATATATTTCTTTAATATACAATAGCAATATGATGTTTATGTAGTTAAAATGAAACTGGCACATTATCGGCTGGTTTTCATGTGACATTTTAATACTATAGAAATCTTGTGAGAAATTAATCTAAGTGTTTTTAGTTTTAATTTCAAACAAAGCAATCTATCACAATTCATAATATTCCATGTGAAATCCCACAAATCAATAATAATAATGGGCAGTAAACGACATGAGGATATTGTCCATGTGGTAAAATGGTTCACATAAAAGAGCAAACATTTATTAACATTGATTTTCTTGATGAATTGTTTTGTCTATTAAATGTCAGAAAATAATCCAAATAAATATTTAAATTACTTGTTTTATCCAACAAACAGTTAAAAAAATGATATAAAACAGAGCACTGTGTGCCTTTACTTCTAGAAATGTTTGCATCCATGTGGATTTCAGACCTGACTTGGAGGCTGCAGCAGCTCACACTTTGTCTAAGCAGCACTCATTTTCCCATCTTCAACTGATTAAGACCAATCCAGCTTTAACCCCATCTTGGATCCCCCTTGCAGGATTACTGCAAATCTGCTGTTAATGACAGTGATTGTGGTGTTTGCGTGTGTAAGGACTGATGGTGGTTGGCGGGGGGGTCGGGTTGTTGGAGCAACATCTTGTTTTTGAAGTCCTCCACCCTGCCCTGTTTTCTCTCTGGTTCTCCTCCCCCACGTCACTGGATCTGCCCCAGTCGATAAAGGAAAACATTCCTATAAAGTTATCCACTTGATTATGCAGCACACATCAGGCCGAGCACAGAGAAGGAGGGGTTTCACTCACGCTCACTTAGCCTATAGCACCCTTCGGGGGTTATGGGGTCATGATAAAAAGCACAAATGACATTATTGGTCATTGGAGTGCAGCAGTAAAATCTCAAAATCTGCCTCCAGCAGCCTCTACTCGTTGTAATATGATTTCTAGGCAATAAGGTTGAGAATCCTAAGGGGAGTTAAGGGAGAGAGAAGGAGATTGAAATTCAGTGAGCAAAGCAAAGCTGGGAAAGGGAAAAAAAAAAAAACCCATCGACAAAAAAAAACACCAAAATCAAACCACAAGCAGTAATAGCTCTGGCAACGTCTTGGGTGTGATTTATGGGGGAGAAGAAATGGCCTTGTTTGAGGGCTGTCACGTCCGGGTCTTGTGATTTACTGTGATGGCTGGGGCTCTCTCATCACGTGCATTCAGGCTGCTAGATAGGACAGGAGAGGTAGGAGGCCCCATTAATACTGATTATAAGAGCATGCTTCCTTTCTGTGTGCTGCTGGTCTGATGGTTTTTTTCCCCGTATATCAATTCAGTGACAGTTCTTAATGGGATAGATTGGACTTCTTCTTTCACTATGTATTGTTATGGTGTAATGAGGTTCCTTGTCATCTCCCCTAATATCTTAAGTACATCTATTAAGATCATTTATGATTTATGAGTTATAGAAATTATACACACGGTTGCATTAAAGCTGTTGAGTGAAGTTGATGGAGAGAGGGAAAGAATGAGAGAGCCTTTATAAACTTCAGTACTTTAGTACTTACTTCAAGGGATGAATGTCTTTAATAGATGAGCAGAGCTCCCCATGTCTTCGTTCCACAACAGCAGTGTTGTTCCAGATTAAAATGAGTGTTTGCATAGTTTCATTGCTGGTCACAAAAGGCCCCCCGCAGCACACAAACTGCTCCTTTTGAAAGGTGTTGCTAGGATACAGGCCAGCGTGAAGATGAAATCCCCTCTGTATTGCTTTCCTACAGCTGTACAGCTCGGACATTATGTCCAACTTATTGTGCATGTGTTACGGTTGTACAGTGTATCTGCACATTTGTCTTAATTCATATCTGTGTGTGTTTCCATGTGCGTGTTTATCTGTCTAGTTGTACAGTGGCATATTACACGGACACTCTTTTATCATAATCCATTTTCTGTAATAAGACTCCATTTGTCTGGTGAGCGCTGAGATCTCAATCCTGCTGTCACCTCCGAGTCTCCACCAGCTGACACCTCAGGCTGTGCACAAAGAATCAATAGTGTCTGCCTCATGTTCAATTACACTCTAATCAACACACACCAGTCCAGCACGACCTGTGAATGAATGGAAATATCTGATGATATTGAACTGATGCTCAGCACTGTGATACCAGTAAATGAATATATTAAGGTGTTACATTTGTTTTGACAGTGTTTGGCGAAAGACAGTGCAGGTAGTCAAGCACTGAACTGGCATTCAAAGCAGAACTGACGAGATAAGCATCTGGGTGTGCTAATGTTCCAGTTGGGTGCATTAAACCATTGCAGAAGAAGAGGCTGCAACAAGATAATGTGATTAAATGAGTGACAGTCAAACCTTTTTTTTCACATTCTCACTCAGGTGTTTAATTCACAAATTGAATATGGGAATAAAAACATTACGTAATGTTAAAATATCAAAAGACTTGATAATGATGGTAAGAACTTACGCACTTTGATAGTTGCTCTATTGCGTCAGACTGTATATGGATTGCAGACCGTAATGATGATTATACTAACGTGGACTTTGTTTTTGTGTTGTTTGGATTTGTGTATTGTGTCTTGTTCTTAGGGGGGCTGTGTTGGTCTGTTGGTATGTTTATGTATTCTGTTATTTCATGGCGGTGGGTTAACATGCTGCAATGTGTGTTTGTTTTGTTGTTAATTTGTCTGAATGATAAGGTATGGGTCTTGAAAATGCTCAGACACGAAAAATAAATCTTAATTCATAAATGAATTAATTAATTTGGTTCTAGATAAGGTTTGGCTAAAGTTTTGGAAGGGGAGGGAGTTGCAATCTGTACCTACATCACTAGATGCCACTGAATCCTTACACGCTGGACCTTTAAGGTTCTTTCGTTAGCCATAATGATTAATTACATGTTTAACTGGATAAGTCATCACTTGGTCCTTGGTCCATCTTAAAAGACAATTATCTTGAAAATGCCACATCCGTGTTCACCCACATTTACTGCATGTTAATGGTTTTTTATCTAGATTTTTTTATTTTGATCAATAGTTTCTTCTGTTACAGTATATAAGCTGAAATAGTAACAGTTATCTCAGTCTGTGTGTCTTTACCTGTAGGGGACCTCTGCTATGTTAAGTAAAAATAATTATTCTAAACACATTTTCATTCTGATCTAAATTAGAATAAGAATCATATGAACCATGTGAAGACAACATATTAAGAAGTACAATTTAAAATCAGATATTCTTCTCAACCATTATGGAGAAATGATCATTCTTCCTCTGGTCTCTGTCAGCTGTTGCTTTTCATATTGTGTTACTGGGCGTGAGGCTGAGAGGTGGTGTGGTGCTGATTGTTCCTGGTGTGGTGTTAACATCTTGGGGGCAGTGAGTGCGCAGAGGGATGAGTGCTCAGCTAAACCATTGCTCAGTGTTTCTTCTGGCTACTGTCCAAGTGTCAATCATCAGGCATCAACCTATCAAGGAGCCCGTGCCTTGGAGGCTGACATGAAGCAGAGACACAGTAAAGATGCTGCAACACGGTCTGCTTATGGTCCACAGAAGGCAGGGATTGGCTGGTGAAGCTTGTGCTATGATGCAGGGTTAACTCTAATACATTACACACGCAGTGCGGCTGCCAAATGAGGCAGATGTCTACTGTATGGACAATATCATACACATAGGGAGATGATTACAATGATAAATTAATAAAAGAAAAAATACAATTCCAAACATTTGCTGGTTCCAGCTATTCTGATGTGATCAAAATGATTACAAAATAATTTATAGTTTTGTACTATTCTGACATTACCTCTGATTACATTCAAAGGATGTTTTTTATTATATTTGGACATTTTGTTGACTCGACAATTTATTGATTAATTGAAAAAACAATCAACAGATTAATCACTAATGACAAAAAAACATACACATTGTAACCAGTGGCCTATGGCTTTGCAAATAGGAGTGCAATTATTCGTGCTAATTCATGTCCTCTTACTTTGGTTTAATGTTGTAAGAAAAGATGTAATACATGACAGAATGCCCAACAAGCAAATCCTTCTTTTAGCATTAGCGTGCTCTTTTTTATCGCTACTGAATCTAGCAAGTTTGGGCCAGAACAGGTCACACAGTTAATTGTTCAACCTCTTTTTCACAGCCATTCTATTATGGTAAATACTCTAACCTGAAGGGCAGTGCAGGTTTTAGCACATTTCTGTAAATTCCCAGTATTGCTAACAAATAAAGAGTTGTCTATGTTTTGACAGTCTTTTCTATTTTATATCTCTTTCAGGAAAACCCGGGGGTCCCGCTAATGTCCCAGCTGAGCTTCTAGCTGTAACTCCACCAGGCGTCCGCGCTTCAGCATCATGCTGCACGTCACCCTGCTCCTCCATCTCCTGGTCCTGTCACTCGCCTCTGCAGGTCAGAAGCACATTCAGTTGAAAGGGAATGGCTAAATTAGTTGACAAATGTGTTGAAAGATGTTTTGAGATACTGTATCACTGCCGCATCTCTAAAAATCTTTTCATACAGACTTTTTAATGTGATCTACTTTATATATAGCTATTGAATGTTTGCATGGCCTTATGAACATTTAAATGAACATTTTGACCTATTTGGCATCAGTGACACATGTTGTAATTAGTTCAGCAGCAGTTTGCTGTCTGATAATTTTTTTTTCAAACATTGCTGGTGAGCAGCACTCATAAATCAAAAGGACTTGGCTCATCTTTAACTTGTATACCCTTCATCTTTCAGGTGTCACAATCCAAGAATTCAGTTGTCAAAGATTCATTTGGCACTAACAATCTGCCAGTGCAATGTGTCTCATATACTCATATACTCAGATAGAAACTGCAGAAACAGTCATAAACTGTGCCTCCTACTACAAAGCATGAAAATCACGCAGGTGCCTGGTTTCGAAGCCCATGTCAAATCCGGATTGTCTGGATGAATAGGGTACAAGAGAGACAAGGTGTTAACAAGCTGCTAACTGCCAGCTTTAAAGAGAATAGTACATATAATGACACTAGCAATGACGTGTGCTTCAGGCAAGAAAATTGTCTACAGTATAGATGCGTGTTAATGTCAGGCGTATATGCAAACTCGTAAAAATATGATTTAGATATATTGACGACAGATACACAACTCTAAACAAAATTCTAGAAAAATCTACAAAGCTTATGTGTCTGATAGGCCTGGCTGGGCAATCATGTGCCTTGGAGGGCCTGGAGATTGCAGGTTTTCATTCCTTTTTTCTGTGATACTGCTGTGCAATCAGCTGTTTTGGAAACAAAGCAAAGTGGTCAGAGAACAGCAGGTCTGAAAATGACCTGTCTAAAAAGATATAACAACACAGAGGAGATGTGTTGGGTACCTTGGGCTATTCCCACTTGTTTCAGATTTTATTTCACATGAACAAAACAAAAAGAAAAAAAGGGAGATGGCTTGAATTGGGAATTCTCCCGACTTCACGCTACATCTTTCTCAAACAGACTCTTAGATTTAGGAGATTTATCTTTCTTTTTCTCTCTTTTCACAAGATTTTGGCAGCACTACAGCTGAAGCATAGAATATCCTGTTGAAAAATGCGCAATTGGCAGATAAACATGGTTGCACCGCACACATACACAGTGTATAGAGTTCACCCACACAAGACTGAGCTGTATGGCTGCTCTATCTAAACAGACAGCAGCCAACCAACAGACTCCGGTCATTATTGTGGGGAGAGAACATTGGCTTGACATTTTTGTTTAGCCCCAACAAGAATAAAGTTTGATGGTTAATGTGACATTAATGCTGACAGCCGAACAAAAGTCAAGCGCACACAACTTCAGTATAGAGTGTGTTTACTATAGTTCAGATGGCCCATCCTAAGGCTTATTCAACAACATAGAGTATACAAAAGAGTGACAGCTAGGATTATTGCTTAATCATCAGGATTGTTTTATCCCATCTGGAAATGATCATTTGAATAGAGAATCAGAGAGTAGTTAAACCCACGTTCATTCAAGGCCATCTACTGAATTTAGGAGTTTTCTTTTTTTTTGTGAAAGACAGGATGTAGTGGATTCCACAGAGATGGCCTTCAGCCAAAGTTAGTCCTTTAGTCCAAAGCGGGCTTTCCAGTCATTCATCACATTTTCAGCAGCATGAAAGGGATTCTATCAAAGACCTGCACCTCTCTGAAGAAACTTGTATGATGAGGCAGGATTTGTTTTGATCCATATTTCTTCCTGTGAGAAGTTAGAGAAATACACCTGCAGTTGAGGAACACCGGAAGTAATAATCAGTAAATATCATCAGTCTTATGTTTGCGGCATCATGGCTCAGTATGTTGACATTATTTCCTTTGTTAACTGTTACAGATGCATCAGTGCACAAGGAGATACCTGACTTTTATGGAGGTAAGACTGATTATATTACTGAATAGTCATGGTAGCTTGTTCCAACGCCGTAACAGATCTTCCTATACTGTTAACATTAATTGCATTTTTAGTATTGATGAAAATACATGCTTCCTGGTGGTGGCCAGTATTGTACCATGAGACGTTCAGCACAAATATACACACACGTTAGACATTGTTTTGGTAAAAAAACTCTTGTACAAAAATTGTTGTGCAAGAAATAATAAACGGGGCTGCTTTCGTGATGGTCAATTTCCTGTTTTGTTCTAACCTTTAATGGTCTCCTAACAGTAGATAATGCAGACCACATGGGTTTAGTTTTTTTATATATAATACAACCCTTTGTTTAAAAATTGGAGTAAAGCTATTATGAAAAATAAGAGCCATAATACTGCGTCGAAATATTCACCTCCTCCTTGATTTAAACACACTATTCAAGCTTCTGCACTCACTTCTACTCATGTGTTAAATACAGTGAAAGCCAAAGAAAAGAGGTATGTCAAATCCAAATGAGTTTCAGTTGTGGTTCTGCCCACTACAACCCCTGAGGTAGACAAACTACAATATCTGCCTGTCAGGATTTGTTAAGGGACAGGCTGTGACAGACGGCTCCCTTTCTCATGGTCCACAATAGCACGGGACAAATGAAAATCTATCTGGAGGTCATTTTTTTCTCCCACTGTTGCTATTTCTGGATCTCTCCAACTTGCAAATGTACATTAATCCTAATGGAGATGGTTACAGCCCAAGAAATTGCACTGTACTGCGCAGATGAATACAGGATGGTCATTAGAGCTTGAAGCTGTATTAGAGCTTCCCTGCATCATTGACAGAGAAAAATAAAAACCCATATAGAAATGTATATGTAGCCTATATATTCATTTGATTATTGTCTATTATTATAAAAATGGTTTACCCGTAAGAGAACTGTTTAAACGAATGGTTCAACATTTAGGGACGTACGCTTATTAGCTTTCTTGCCAAGAGTTGGATGACAAGATAGATACCACTTTAATATCTGCTGCTTTTCATGTCATGTATGCCATATATGAAACTAGCTTAGCTTAGCATAGTATAAAGACTGGACACTGGAATATGGTATGTCTGGCTCTGTCCAAAGATAACAAAATCAGCAAAACAAGCAACCAAAGTACATGAATGAACAAGTTATATCTAGTTTCTATAATCTGTACAAAAACCAAGTGTATAAACGATGATGGGTTATGTGCCAGACTATTTCTTGGTTGGGCGCAGTCGCTGCTAGGTTGCCAGGCAACCAGCAGAGACTCCAGGAAGTCTCTGTGCCCAGCCAAGAAATAGTCCAGAAATAGTCCACATAGTCTTTTCATCTAATACCCTGCAACATATTTCCCAAAATGTCGTAATTTCTTTCGGTCAAGTGTGTTGGCAAAAGGAATATCAAATCCTCCAAGTGCACGTGTGATTTTCAAGGTGCAAGCTTTAAATGTAAAAATACCAACAGAAAGGAGTGGCACTCTCCCCATTTTCAGACATACTGTAGATCTTCATTCATAAATAATATATTTAGAGTACTGATCAATCAGAGTACCCTCTTGTTGTACTATGCAGAGCAGGTCGTCATGTACTGTCAGTGTTTACGGCTTTATCAGTGTAAGATTTGTACCGTGTGTGTTATTCTCTGGGAGAAAAATAAAGTAGAGGCAGACTGTCAGCAAGGGGTAATTTGGAAAAGGGAAGCCTTGCTGATTCGTTGCCTGGGAACAAGTTGTGATGCTGCATGCAGGTTGAATTGTTAATGGATCCAGCGAGGAGAGGAATCATTTTTATCTGGGGGTCTCTCTTTTGTTTGTTTTTTCACCCTTTCCTTCTCTGTGACTTTTACAGTCTGTGTGCCTGCCCAGAGTGTCTCCTCCCGGACATGTTGACATTATCTCCCCTTGTCTGTAGATATAACACAGCATGATGCAGCAAAGAATGTTTTCAATGCTGCACGCATCAGTCCAATACTCTATGGACTACAGTGTTTAAGGTCACTCAGGACTAGAAAATGTGAGAAAATGCTGCTCCGGCTTTATAATTTTGAATTATTTGTCAAACTTGGACAAAGATGAAGGTGTAGCCCTAGGAGGAGGCAACGTCGATCCCACACTCCTCAAAGGTCAGAACATTGTGTAGGTGGCCTTCCAGCTGGGACACATTGCTTAACATTCAGCCCATAGCAATGTTAATGCCCAGCATTCTACTGTTAAAGCAAAACTACTCAATATCTGTCTCTTTAGTCAAATCAAATCAAGTAGCGGTTCCTGAGGCAAGTACAGAGGTTTTGTAATATCCATACATTATAATTGCAATATTTACATACATATATTTAATTACAGCTACACTAAAGGTTATGCATGCATTTTTAATTTACTAAATCAGTACATACTCATTTCCCAATAGAGAGGCAAATTCTATACCCTTAAAGAAAATTCCTTTAAAAACCTTATGTCAAACGAACCCTAGTTTTCAGTTTGCCAGATGGTGGGAGTGTGACACATCAAAGGCCTTGATTGATGGCTTATTTTTTACCTACCTGCAATTTTAGACTATAAGGTCTGTTTTAACTCACTGCATACTCTGTTGATATGCATTAACTTTTTATATGCAAATTAGTTTTCATTCTCATTTTTGCTTGGGCAGTAAAGAGGGACACACACAAACACACACATCCTATCCTTTTTAATTTGGGTCCTGTCTGCTTTAAAGGGGCAAGTTGCTGCTTTGATGTAATTTTACAAAGTTTCTAATTAATTATTGAATTATTTTGTTAATAAATATTTCATGAGTAATATAGTTATACCTTTGGTGTGCCTTGGGCGCAAAAGTTTGAAAACCACTGCCCTAAAGGTTTAAAAGATGGCATTAATATGTATTCAAATGTTGATAGAGACTTCTCAAATCAGCTGTCCAGCGGTATTGTCAGTACTTTTCAAACACCCATATTTTGCCAAGATATGGTTGAAAACATCACTTCCATGGTAGTCAGTCCTTAGGTACAACCTTCGCAAGCTTTTGAGCATGTGGGTGTATTGGTTTGAGTGCCTGCCAGCAGCGTATTTAAATGTTTCAATACCTCTGAAAATTAGATCTGCAACGCAATGCAATTAGTCGATAAATAGAAAATAAATCGGCAACTATAAATTGTTTTAGCAATTTCTTAAGCAACTGCCCATTATTTAGTGGTTGCAGATTGCAAATGTGAGAATTTATTGCTTTTCTTCGTTGTACATGACAGTAAACTGAATATCTTGGGGTTTTGGACTGCTGGTCAGACAAAACTACATTTGAAGATGTCACCTTGGCCTGCCAGAACTTCTAACACAACTTTTTGACATTTTATAGACAGAACAGTCGATCGAGAAAGTAGTCAGTAGACTAATTGATAATGAAAATAATCTTTAGTTAGCAGCTCTATTAAAAAAATATGATTAAAAAGGCTGAATATCTGATATATAATATCTGAGATCTAAGGGGTGAGTGTTTGTGTCCTACACTTATTTATGGTAGAGTATTAAAAGAAGTTATTAACATGCACCTAAAATTATACTTAAAACCTCAATGAATAATAGAATCATTAGAAACTAATGCCAGGGAACATAGCAGGCTCCGTATTTGTTAATGAAGCCTGTTCAGAGGAAGATCACTTACAGCAGGCCCTAAAGACACATAGCATCTGACTATTGTTTTTATTTCTCTCTCTGTGTGTGTATTTGCATTTGCTGTTTATGTGTTTGCTTTATGCAGGGAAAAAGAGGACCTGAGATACACTGAATGAGTAAAACAGAGATGAAAATAGAGGTGTAGCTTTGGACAGAGTTGGAAAGAGATTCTCTGTGTTTTGAAGAAAACATATTAGGCATGCATGAGATAAGGGTGGAAAGCATTTATGAGAGAACACAGTAGGCAACTGACAGTGGGAGGCTTTGAGACATGATGAAAGAGAGAAAGAGTGATAGTTAGAATAAAAAGTCAGGGTCCACAGTCAGCCATGCTAGCGGGTGTGAAGCTGTACTTATTCATAGTGGTGCTTGGAGCTAAATGCTAAAATCAGAATACTCACAATGACAATGCTAGCATGCTGAATTTTAGCAGGTAAATTTCACTATTTCACTGCATTGTCAGCATGGAAATTAGAATTACACACACAAAGTATAGCTAAGCCTGATGTGAAGGTTTTAGCTTTTCAGGTTTTTAGTCAAACAAAATAAAAGTTTGACCATATGGAGCTGGATGCTCACCAAAGTTATTACAGTCCATCCTGAGGGGGACATCAATGTCTGCATCATACGACAGTTCAGTAACCAAAACAAATATGAGACTGCTGATGGCACTAGAGGAAAGTTAGAAGACCACTAGTGTGCCCACCTACCTCATAGATAGCAGCACCAGATGGTATGCCACACAGAAGCATCTGGGAAGTCGTTGTTGGAAAAGGGCAGGTACTTTAAAAAAACACTCAGCAGGTGATTCCCTTAATTATCTGTCTATTACTGTTGGGCAAACTTCAACCAATCAGATCAACAAACCATATAACGTAGTCATACTCCTACCGAATCCAGTCGGGAGAAGAGTGAAAACATCTTTTCCATTGAGAAAAGCCTTTGGTGCTGTTCTTTACTCTTCTTTCAATGAAGAAATACTCTCCAGTTCTCATGCTAGCAGCACCTATGCTAACCTCTATGGAAACTGGCATGGTTGTTTAACGAACAATGTCTACTCGCTGCGTCACACCTAGCGCCCACCCCAGTAGCTGCCAGTATGTCCCTAAAGGACACCGATTGGTCCAGCACCACTGTAGTCTGGCCACAAATACATAGATTGATTGGCAAGATGGATTATTTTTATATGATATATTTTCACTAGATAAGTGTAAACACATGGGGGCTAGATGAAAAGTTAAGGGATCACCAATGTCATTAGATGATCCCTCGTGGTGACACTAGAGGATCACCAAAGTCAGTAGGATCCATCCCCTGGTAGACTGGTAGAATTTCTGTTTTAATCATAGTGGAGATATTTCAGTCTCAACTAAAGTGGTGGGCTGACTGACTGACATTGCCGTCCTCGGAGCCATGTAGCTTGCATGGCTAACTAGAGAGTTAAGAGACCTTTAGAATGGAAGTATTTGTAGAACGAAATCCAGGAAATGTAAAGAAAGAGGAGCAGAGCGTGACAGTAGGATATAGGTTAGAGAGATGGAGAGAGGACAGAGGAGGGCCAGAGACAGATAGACAAGTGAAAAGTGAAAAGTGAAACGAGAAAGAGAGAATGTAAGAGGCCTGTGTGTGTGTCTCCAGGCAGTGGGCCTTATGTGGCCTGCTTTAACACTCCCCTTCACCATCTGTCACATCCTACGTTACAGGGGAAGGATAGGAACAGCACCAGTGCTCATCTCACCGGGTTACACTCCAACTGCTATTTCAGCACTGCACCAGAGCCTCAATGACTCCCCTCCTCCAGCCCACCCCACATTTATATTTCATATTTACATGCAAAGCATTTTTCTGACACTCAGTCAGAGCAATCTAAATGCAACAGTAGAACAGGGTCAAAATAGTCCCTTTTCTACAACTCATCCTTGTGAGTCTGTTTCTTTCAATCCTTTTTTTTCCTTTGCTCTTTCGTCTTTGTCGCTCATTCGCAGAACATTGTCTCCCACTTAATTTGCCTTCCATCAGCCCCCATGTCCCATTTATAGTATATTTAATTCTCTCTCAGCCAGCAGTAGTTCAGAGTCCTTGGGATTTGCATCAATGTTAAGTGCTCGCACACGGTTGGCTGCTGGAATGTGTGAGAGGGAGTCGATCCTGTCTCCAGACGTCTTAATTGCTGCCTCCTGGTTAGCTGTTCTGGCGTGAGAAGGGATTCGGCTAACTTGCTGGTGTGATTATAAGTCTGTCTTCATACTTGCTAGGATTAAAAGATTTTTAATTCCTCTTGCGTCCTTCCTTACTGCAGAGGCAGATAAATATGCATTTGGTTACTTATGTTTAACTACACAGTATTTGCGTCTACTGTACATCAATGTCAAGCACACACGATCGATGAATGGAATGTGTTTGATTCTCGCTTTATTTTCTTATTATTCTGCTTCTGATTAAACATATCTTCCTTTTTTGTAGGGGTAAATAGTAGTAAATATACAGTTTCAGATGGCAGAACATATGAATATAATTGTCTTTTGTTCAGGTTCATAAAGGTTGCTCACTATCAGTGAATATGACATTTTCAGTGAGTGAATCCTAAGCGCCAAAGCAGACCTGGTTTAACGGATCGAGTAGAAGCAGGATATTACTGTCTGAAAGAGTGAGCTTCTCCCCATTGAGGTGTCAGCTGTGCTCTCTTAGAACTCAGAGACGCAGGGGAATAACACACATGTGTGCACACATGCATCCGCACATGCCTCACATTTGTATTCCTGCAGTCACCTACACACACTTTTGATCTGAGAGAATAATCAGCATTTGAGAACATTTCGCCTCATTGCTTATTCATAGCCTGGCATTGTGTTTATGTCTTATTCATGCCACTGCTTATGATGTCTGTCTGTTTTAATGAGTAATTGGGGCTAATTGTACGTGTGTATTGATGGTGTAAAAGGCAGATTGAACCAAGAAAGGCATTTTCATCAAGGGGACTCATCTCTCTGGATATGCCGATGCAACTGCTTCACAGCATTGAGGATGACACATGCAGTATGAAAGGGGCTTGGATTATGCTAAGTCAAGTTAGCATTTCCAGCTCCAGGATTTGTATTAGCTTGTAACAATATGATATCCACTGGCAAGAGATGAATGTGTCACTGTGATTTGGCACCTGAGTGAGCACATCTCTGTCATAATTAGTGCGATGTTGTGATTTGGAATAAAGCAGGGGCTTTATTACTCTGCATCATGCCTGAAAGAGAGTTTGAGTGAATACAAGGATTAGATTAGTTAAAGCTACAATCAGTATTTCCCTGAAACCAGCTTTTCGAGGCAATAGAGGTGTGTGAGTCTACCAGAAACCAGGCTGTAATATTAAAAGGCAGGTCCTCACACAGGCAATCTCACAGTCTAGTCAGTGCGTTTGTTTTTTTTGTCTTACATCTGAACCCTGCTGTCTTGTTTTTGATGGAACTGCCCTAGAACTGCCAGACAGACTGAGCTCTAACACCTTGATATTTCCCGTTTGTAAGACTGACCCAGCTTGTTGTTATTTACCCTGGACTTGTTTGTTTGCTGTCGGCAGATGAAGCCACAGGTTACGGGCCAGTGTTTGAGGAGCAGCCGGTGGAGACCATCTACCCTGAGGAGTCGCCTGAGGCAAAAATCATCATGAGCTGCCGGGCCCGGGCCAGTCCACCTGCCACATACAAGTAACATATGTTCCTCATAAACCCGGTCTCATTATTACCCGCTGTGCATTCTGTGTGTCTCGCATCACTCGCCATCTCTCAGGCTGTATTCAAACTGGTTTAGGGTCTGCCTGTAAATGGCAAGGTCACAATGATGTTTGGCTTAACCTTATTGCACCTCCAAGGTTCACAGTGTAAGTGTGACCATCCAGCAGTGCATCATTTTGTGATATATATTGAAGCAATTCCCACATAATTTCACTGCAGATATTTGTTTTTTCCTCATGCTAACAATAATTTAAATGCCAAAATATGACACACCAGAAAAACCCGATAACAAACAAGATGCTGCCTCTGCCGCAGCAGAGCAAACAGCACTGCCTGGTTGTGTCTCCACTTCATTTTACAGCTCTAAATTTAAAGCGTTTTGCATGATCCATTTCAATTTAGATGTAAATGTATGTAAATGATATTACTTGGCATCCCCCAAAATGGTTTCACTGTCAGAGAGCCCAGAATTAGATGTCAGAGGGGAAAGAATTCGCTTTGACCACAGTATTGGTATTGGTATGAAACATTTGAGAGAGTTCATCCACAGTACAGTCCACCAGCAATTTGCGATTGCTTTTATGTAGAACAGCTGTTATATTTGAATCTTTAAATCTGTAAATCTGTAATATTACAGTATGTGCAGACATTTGACACTACACACTGTAATGGAGACTCTGGTCAGATTTTGCATTGAGGGGCCTAACGTCAGGTGTTTGGGACATAATCACATGCAATTAAAATACTGCATGTCACTGCATGAAAAACTGACAAAATTCTCCTTGTTGTGCTCCATGTAAAACAAACCTTTTGCCAACAATTATCAAATATTAGGTATGCTACCATCATACAGTCATATCTGACTGCTTTTCTCTGTGCACTAATGTATTGACCCTAACTGTTTTCCTTGTCGCAGGTGGTTGAAGGATGACATGGAAATTGACTTGAAGGCACAAGGCAGACACTACAGTTTAATGGGAGGCAACTTGGTCATCAGCAACCCCACAAGAACCGAACATGTAGGAAAGTACTCATGTTTGGCCAGCAACATGTACGGCACGGTCATCAGCCGAGAGGCCTCAGTCCAATTCGGATGTAAGTGACCCAGATGTGACCCCCCAATGTAGGCTGCAATGATGCACGGTACCATACAGAATTAACAGAGAACTGCTCTGGAGCTGTCCTTTCATGCATATTAAGCACACTGAAATTGCAAGGGCAGCTGGGACTATTGCAGTGCAATTTGTGAATGGTCTAACTTCATGATGCCACCATGACTAATGTACTTTTTATTAAAAAACTACAGCTCAATTCAGAGGGAGTTGTTGAGTTTTATACAATCCTTAATCCTTTAGTGTAGATTTGATGGGAATTAGCTATAGCGGATGCTTAAATATGAATTTATGACGGTAGATTCTGAGTAGCTCTTGAGTCTGAAACTGTCTGACTGTTGATTTTTGTCTCTGCCTCTCTCAGACCTCGATCTTTTCTCGTCAGAGGAGAGGGAATCAGTGTATGTGAAAGAGGGACAGGGGGCCGTGCTGCTCTGCGCTCCCCCACCACATTATCCAGGTACAGCATGTGATAGCTGAGTGTGCTTCTGCTGAATGGGTTCTTCAAGATTATATTCAGTCTCCCTCATCATGTAGCATTAGCATCTGGTTCATGGCTTAAAGGGCATTAAAATGATCATAGCAAAGGATTGGATTGGAATTATGAATACAGCCAGAACAATCAATGACTGAATGAAGATCAGGGTAAGATATATCATATATGAAGCAGTCAATAGTGTTAAGATATCTTTATTTTTGGAAACACAGGTTACTAAATGGAAGAAACTAAACGTTCTTTTTTCTGAGTAGTTGCTCGGAATTACGAGTAACATACAATTTCATATTATTGGTAGATTTATTTGATCTCATATTTATAACATAATGTTTATAAATTGGATGCCTTCAATACAACTACAGCATCAACTCCCAATATCACTGGAAAAGTAAAGTTCAAAGATATGCAGGGGAGATGTTTTCCTGATGTGCTCATTCCAATTGGAATGATTAGAAAGATTCTCCCCTTGTTCAAAATAAATCAGGAAATCAATTATAGGCTGTATTTATAGCCTTTTCAAGTCAAGTCATGTGAGGATATTCACAATTATCCTGATGCAGGATTATCACAATAATGGAAATAAAGTGTTTTTTATCACGATAAACGATAATATTGTATATCGTCCCATTTCTACTAGACAGATCTAAAATTCTTCATCAATACATCATAACCATCTTAACTATGCTACAGTGCCCTTTATGCCTTTAGCTAGAAGAATTATGAGATTTCCTCTGAAAGGTCAATAGATACTTGAATAATAAATCCTCCTCAGCAACAAAGAAGTGTGCTATTTTACATTTTGCGTCTATTCAGATTATTCAAAGTGAGCTATCTTCACACACAGTTCCCTCAGCTCTTTTCAAAGCTTTTTGTCCATGTCCAGGGTCATGATTGACAGGTGGTGTTTTGTCGTGTCTTTTTTTTTGTTCAGCCGAGCTGTCGTTCCGATGGATCCTCAACGAATTCCCCACCTTCATCTCACTGGACAAGAGGCGTTTTATCTCCCAGATAACGGGTAATCTCTATATCTCCAAGGTGGAGTCCTCAGACAGCGGCAACTACTCCTGCATTGCCTCCAGCCAGTCCATTTCCAAGAGCGTTTTCTCCAACTACATCCCCCTCGTACCTCTGGCTGAACGTTAGTACCTCACTTCCTACTCTCCATTGTCTTACCAGTTACTTATTTCCAATGCACTGCAATTAATATCTCTCAGATCAATATACAAACATTTATTGTATTTTAATGTATAAAATGTACTTAAGAAGAAGTTCAGTAAAGAAGTATGGAGCAGGAGCTAAAGTGTGTAACATTTAGGAGGCTCTATTGGCAGAAATGGAATGGAATTGTGTGTAATCAGCTGTAAAAACAGAATCATTGTGTTTCCGTGACCTTAGAATGAGCCTTTTTTAATCTAAAGAGGGACCTCTTACCAGGAGGCCACCATGTTGAACCATCATGTTT